ATTTATTTATTTATTTATTTTCTTTCTTTTCCATTGATTTTTAGAGAGAGTGGCAGTGAGGGAGGGAGGGAGGGAGGGAGGGAGGGAGGAAAGAGAGAGAGAGAGAAACATCGATGTGAGAGAGAACAAGCAGAGCCCCCCCAGCTGGCCTGGTCTCTCGCCCATGGCTTCTTTCTCTCCCACCTCCCCTCACACAGACCTGTCTTCTCAAGAGACCAGGCTCCCCCAGGAGTGGAAAGCGGTGGAAGATGACTCGGAGGAATCCCGGGTAAGTCGGGGTTCCCGCCTCTGTCACGAATGTCCCACCTGCGACCTCAGTGAGCTGTCTCACTCCCTTCCTGCCATTTCCCTGCCCCTCAAACGTCTGTTGAGGGATGTGAGCCCCACGAGGTCGCCCACGGGAAACAGAACACATTTCTATGGCGGTCAGACATGGCGTGGAAGGTGTCCCTGGGGGTGTGTAACTCCAACCACGAATACCCTCAACTCTTCACTCATAAATTCATTATCACTTAACCACTCATTCATCTACCCCCTCATTCAGCCACCCTTACTTTCATTTGTCTACTCGTTACACACCTATTCCAGCCATCTACCTGTCCATCATCCACCCATCTATTCATCCTCCATCCATTCATCCAGCTATCCATCCATCCATTTACTTATCCATCTATCCATCCATCCATTTCATCGATTGATTTCATCCATCCATCATCTACCCATCCACCCATTCATCCATCCCATCTGTCCATCTGTTCATCATCCATCCATTTATTCATCTATCCATCCAACTACTTATTCATCTATCCATCTATCCACCTATCCATTTATTAATTTGTCTGCCTTCTGTTTGTCCATCCATCCATCCATCCATCCACCCACCTTATCTGTCTACCCACTTCTCCATCCATTGACCCTCCCATCAACTCACCCTCCCATTTACCCATTGAACATCCCCCAACCATTCAACTGTCCTCACTTGAGGATATTTTTCCATTGATTTTTAGAGAGAGTGGGAGGGAGGGAGGAGGAGACAGAGAGAGAAACATCGATTGTGAGGGAGACACATCGATTGGTTGCCCCCTACATGTGCTCCGACTGGGGCCAGAGATTGAACCTGGAGCCCAGGTACATGCCCTTGACCGGGAATCGAGCCCTCAACCCTCCAATAGGTGAGTTGGTGCTCTAACCACGAAGCAACACTGGCCAGGGCTGGGACGCGTCCAAAAAAGATGCCCGTTAGATATCCAAGTGAAGGTGACAAGTAGACAGTGAGATGCATGCGTCGGGAATTTGGGAGAGGGGCTGGGTCAAGAAATACACGCACAGGCATTTGGGGGTCAGTAGAGTCTAGATCAGTGGTTCTCATCCTTGGCTGCACATTAGAATCACCTGGGAATCTTTTTAAAATCCTGATTTCTGGGCCTCCTCCTCTGGAAATTCTGTTTCTTTGTAATGGGGTGGGGCCACAACATTAGTAACAAAGAAACAGAATTTCCGGAGGATGAGGCCCAGAAATCAGGATTTTTAAAAAGATTCCCAGGAGATTCTAATGTACAGCCAAGGTTGAAAACCACTGATCTAGAGATGGTATTTAAAATGGTGAGATTTCATCGCTTTGAAATTGTCCTCCCATGTTCCGATATTTCCTCTTCTGGGATGTAGGGATGCTACGTCCGTTGTCTTCCATCCGTCCCTGAATTCCATCAGCTCTTCGGTCCACATGCCGGTCAGTCCCTGGCCCCATTTTCCCGCAGGTAACAGCAGTGGCCCCTCCCTTTTCCACTTTTATCCTTCTCTCCCCCTTCTGTTTCAGGGCACCGTGGAGTGGCCGCGACCCCCCCAGCAAACGACCTTACTCCTGATCGTGTGCGGCCTCTTCCTGTTCCTGGTGTTAACGGGGATGCCCGCCGTGTTCTACATCTAAGCCCGTTCGGAAGGCAGCGAAGGAAGCGCCCGGGTGATCTTTTGAGAGAGAGATGGAGGGAGGGAGAGAGAGAGAGAGAGAGAGAGAGAGAAACGTCGATGTGTTGTTCCACTTACTCCTGCATTCATCGGTTGACCCTTGTGTGAGCCCTGACTGGGAACCGAACCCCCAGCCTTGGTGAATCCAGACAAAGAAAGCTCTAACCAACTGAGCTACCCAGCCAGGGAGGCCTCCCTGTGCCCACTTTTGAGCCCTTTATTCATTTACAGTTCCTTTTGACAAAACCACGTGCTGTCCTAGTAGACGTAGTCGCACCGACGTGCTTCTAGTCCCAGCCGTGGCCACGTCGTGAGGTCCCATCATTCGTGTTCTGTTCCGTAGGTCGTTGTGCTTCGAAACTCGGTGATTGGGTTTATTTATCTGGTACAACCAGTGCTGTGTCTGTGACTTCCCGCACGGTGGACAGAGAACGTGGCCTGTGGCAATGTGTTTCCCACACCTTTCTAGAACGCTTTCCCCGTGGCCAGAACGTGTCCGACACTACCGCACGTCCCACGGGCATTTCAGAGGAATACGTAGCTTCTGCCCATGGAATTGAAAACCCTGTCGGTCAGCTCAGTCCCACCAGTCGTGTGGTTCGGAGCCGGGCGCCGGGTCGTTGTGGCCTAAACCCCCAGCTGCCGGAAGCCAGGGAGGCCGCACGGAAACCCGTTGGCACAGTCCTGTCTGCCAGTGCAGTGTTCCTAGCCGTGTCTGTGTTCGTGTTCATCAGCTGTGTGCTTTGACGCCTGCGTGTAGCATTGTGACGTCCTTGCCAAGTAGATACAGAACGCGTGGCCACCCATGTGTCCGGCGTTTAGGACGAGCTCAATAAACGGTAGTGAAAACCCGACTCGGCGTCTTCGTCAAATAGAAAAAGACCGTCTTTAACCCGTTGAATCCTTGGCCTTCAGTTCTAGCTTGTCTCATGACAGCCCTGATTTTTTAAAAAAAATATTTTTTAATTGGGGAAACCAAGTTTGGGTTCCCTCCTTGCAGCAGGTAGCTTCTCTGTGCAGTGGTTCTCAACCTTCCTAATGCAGCGACCCTTTTAAAAATATATATATTTTATTGATTACTTTTATTGATTTTTTACAGAGAGGAAGAGAGAAGGATAGAGTCAGAAACATCGATGAGAGAGAAACAGGTTGAGAACCGCTGCAGGGAAGTTGGCTTTCGCTCAAAAAACAAACAAAACAAAAAAGATTTTTAATTTTTTTTTTGAGAGAGAGAGAGGAAGGGAGAGGGAGATAGAGAGTGAAACATCTATTGGCTGCGTCCTGCTTGCACCCTTTCCCCTGCCCCCTCCGGGGATCAAGACTGAACCCCCCAGATGTATGGGATGATGCCCAACCAATCTGGCCACAGGGGGCAGGAATACCGTCCTGATATTTGGGGACCGAGCCTGCAACCCGGGCATGTGCCCTGAAGGCGAATTGAACTGGGGACCTCTTCGTTCCTGGGTGGACGCTCAACCACTGAGCCACACCAGCCGGACTCATTTTATATATATATAAAATGGCATGTGCCCTTGACCAGAATCCAGTTCAGGACCCTTCAGTCCGCAGGCCAATGCTCTATCCACTGAGCCAAACCGGCCGGGGCCCAGCTGGACTCACTTTCACGGGCCTTCCCACGGCCTCCCGGAGTCAGCTGGCGGGATTTGGGGGGCGTATCGGGTCCTGTCTCCTGTTCTCCTGCTGAGTGCATTCAACAAGCCACGGCCGGCCCTTGTTAAAGGCGTTTGGTCCTGGCTGGCACATTCCTCAGGATTGTATTGGTGGCAAATACAGAAGCTCAGCCCGGCTGGTGTGGCTCAGTGGTTGAGCTTCCACCTATGAACCAGGAGGTCAGGGTTCCATACCCAGTCAGGGCACATCCGGGGTTGCAGGCTCGATCCCCAGTGGGGGGCGTGCAGGAGGCAGCCGATCCACGATTCTCTCTCATCATTGATGTTTCTCCCTCTCCCTTCCACTCTGAAATTAATTAAAAAAATAAAATGGGGGGCGGGGGGACCGGGGGTGCCTCTCTGGCTGCCAGGGGACCCTGGCTTGTCATTCTCCTCATGAATCCGCCCACTCCAAGGACAGGCCAAGGGCTGGGGGCCAGGTGCTGGGTCGCTGGGGGACGGGCCGTGCATGCCGCCACCTGCTCCCCTTGGCTTCCCTGAAACCCCTGCGTTTCAAAGCAGCGGTTCTCAACCTGTGGGTCGCGACCTCTTTGGGGGTCCAACGACCCTTTCACAGGGGTCGCCTAAGACCATCGGAAAACACATATGTAATTACATACTGTTTTGTGATGAATCACTATGCTTTCACTATGTTCAGTTTGTAACAATGAAATTGGGGGTCACCACAACATGAGGAACATGAGGATTAAAGAGTCCCGGCATTAGGAAGGTTGAGAACCGCTGTTTCAAAGGCTCCGAAACAAGGATTTGTGCAAACTCCTCCACCAGGGGGCGCAGCCTCCCACAGCAGGGGAACCGGCAGACTCCCATCACCCCCCTCCCCTCCCCTGCTGCCGGGACCAGGGTCACAGCCGGGCAATGAGCCACCAGGGGAGGCACCACCATCGGAGCAGCGATGCCCCAGGGGCAGCAGAATTCTGCGTGGGAGCCCTGCCCCGCGTCTGCGCAATAGCAGCGTGCGAGCCTCTGCGCCTGCGCACTGTGATCAGGCCTGCTCTCCTTGAGTGGCAGAGGCTGGCCCCGCCCACGCCCCCAGCTGACTCCCTCGGCCCCGCCCACTGCTGGGGGGTGGGTTTCTCCTCTTCTCTTGGGTGATGAGACTGGACCCCATGTCTGTAAACTAGGATTCCATTTCACTCATTCATCCATTCACCCGGCATTCCCAGAGCACCTACTGTGTGCTGAGGCCCAAGCTGGGCGAAGTCTGGACCAGAGGGAGGAGCCAGACTGTGCGGTCCATGACCCTGAGGGGATGTTAGGGCTGGCGTTGCGGAACGTTCATCTAGTATTCACATACTCGACCTATTAATTTATATCTCCTGAGCACCTACTGTGCGCTGAGACCAGAGCTGGGCCATGTCTGTGGCACAGGGAGCAACCAGCTGTAATTGACCCCAACCCTAAATGACTCCAGGACTGATGCTGGGATGTACAACTATTCATTTGGTCACCAGGAACTTCTTGAGGACCTACTATGTGCTGAGGCCTGGGCTTGGCGATGTTTGAGCCAGCGACCAGAACCAGAATGTGTGGTGTTTGACTCTGAGGGGATCCAGGTGAGCTAAGGATGCTCACCTGCTGTTTACTCATTTCTTGGCCTATTCATTGATATCTCCTGAGGACCTACTGTGTGCTGAGAACTGCGATGGGCGCTGTCTGGGGCATAGGGAAGAACCAGCTCTATTGTCCCCAACGCTGAACAACCCAGGGCTGGTGGTGGGATGTGCAATTATTCATTCAGTAACCCAGCACTTCTTGGGGACCTACTGTGCGCTGAGACTTGTCCAGAAGATGCTAGAAAGAAAAAAAAAGGCACTCTCCTCCCAGGCCCTCACCAAAGGGACTAAGCCTTTTATTCATTTATCGAACAAATGCCTGCTCTGTCAGGAAATCAACAATTACAAGGCCAGCCCCAAACCCACAGCTACTTCTTCGGGTCCGCGTTGGTGGCTCACGTTTATAATTCTGAACCTGAGCGGGAGCGGGGAAGGGTGTCAGGGGGTCTGGCAGATGCAGGGTGCAGCCCCAGCCCCGCGACGTCCTCCGTGGGTGGCCTTGGGCAAGTCACGAGCTTCTCTGAGCCTCGGTTTCTTCACAGGCAGCAGGGGGATGAGCCGGTGTCTCCCCACTCGGGCCATGAGGCTGGAGAGGAGGGGGCGCGCGCACTGGGCACGGTGCCTGGAGCAGGAGGCCCCGTTACCCCTCAGCTCTGACTCTGCTGGTCCCCGGAGTTTTCTGGGGGGTCACTAGGGCTAACAGGCTTCTCCCCCCGGGGCGAGCGCCGGGGTCCAGTTGGGGGTGGCGGCTGCGCGGTGGGGTCCCCGCGCGGG